GATTATGCCGATAATTATTCACACATGTTTACGAGGGCTGGCAATCCGGTCGAAATTCTGTACACACGAGTTGCAAGCATTCATTTTTACATGGGAATTAGACTCTGAACACTTCGACCTATGCTTCACAATACTCAAACGAGTACCTCGAAATACACAGTCATCGTCACCTAAATAACAACCATCACACGCTTCGCTGTTCAACAAAACCGTTCATTATTTTCCCATATGTGACCTGATCAACTGACAGTAAAGCCTATAGATTCTTGAATAATCCTCACTGTGAACTAGTTTCACCTTGCCACACCAGGCCACGATCCTCATATCACAATAACAATTTTGATGAGGACACAGAAGAACAGGTTCACAACACACAACAACCTTAATCTCGATTGACTTGAATAGAAATTTGTGAAGTGCGTTGACCTGATTCATGCGAATCACTCAAACAGAATTACTAATCCCAGGAATCGATTGCATGACAATTACCAATCCGCTTCTTTGAGCAGTTGCGACTATGTGTCGACCAAAAACAACTGGCTAACTCACAGGTTTGTGAGTATAAATAGCTCAGAGTGGAGTCCTAAAACAAACCACACGAACACGAAATAGTCACTGAACAATGAGCATCAAGGTTTCACTCCTACTTGCATTGGTCGTCTCGTGTGAGATTGTGTTCGCCGATAAACTCCATCGTAAGTGTAGTTGTTTGCTCTTAATGTCAATGTTTCCACCGTAATTGTGTTGTGATTGCGGTTGAGCTGTTCGTATGTCCATCGAAATTCGAAAAACATGATGTGCAATCTTTCAAGAGTCCGTCGACTGATATCGATGGAAGTTCTCAACGAACTCTGGTTATGACAAACAGAACGCCATTCCATATGTCGAAGCATATGTTTGGTCCGTGAGAGCACATTTGTTCTTCCATCACTGGAGGTTGTGATTTGCCTTACAAAGGTTTCGGAACACACATCTGAAGGTGGGCAAATACCATGATTTGTGAGAGCATCACTCACTTGTAACATCTCTCTTTGCCCGATGCACGTGCCTGTGTCATCTAGTTCGTTTAATCAGAGACTTGATTCCGTGTTTGTAGTGCTCATTGATTGTTTTGTGTTTTGCCATTTTGAAACAGGAGAATGCATGAGGCCAGTCGATGCTGGAGAAGGAGACAAGGAAGTACACATCTTCTACTACAATAAACAGGAGAAGAAATGTATGCCATTTATCTACAAAGGTGAAGGAGGCAACAGAAACAGGTTCCCGACACTGCAAGAATGTGAACAGAGATGTGTGAAGAAGAGAGGAAAAGGGAAACCAAAACGCAAACCACATACGCCATCATCACGAGGTATGGCGCAAACCGATAAAGGAATATAGACATTTGGACCACATAATCCAATCCACAGACAAATAAACATGCGTTTCCAAATCTCTTGTTATCTTGTTCTAATACGCTTCAATTGAACAGGAAAATAGGCTACAGACATCTGATGAAGAGAGTACGTGGTGAACGAGCGCACACACACGCTTCGGAAATACGATCTAGGATGCAGACGAATAACTGGCAGATTAAAATACACTTGTGGATAGTGAGTCAATAATGAATGATCTGTCCAAAACCTAGAACGATTGACGTAGGCGAAAGATGATATGGAGTGTTTGCTTCACTCGAAAGTTGCGTTTGTTTGCACCAGCTGTATTCTCCAACACGGCTTGATGTTTTGTTGGTTAATTTTGTGTATCCGGATAGACCGGCTAACACAATGACGGCATTTCGTTGTATGGTGACAGATCAACATCGACTGACACTGACACTGTAGTGAACATGAACACCAGCGTTGACAACCGAATTATTTTTAGCACAAAATTACAGGGTTACTTTCTGAAATAGAAAAACCATACTATAGTATTTAATTTGCAAAATGTTCAGTAATTGTATGGAACTTCATTGTTCTTACTAATTGCTCTCTATTTCCGCTCTTCCTTTCTTGATCTTCCCCATGTCCTGCCACCAAACATTTCATTTCTGACTCGCGTCAAATACTGCTTATATCAATATAAGTAGCACTAACAACGATTGTAATCTTATAAAACTGAAGCTGATTCTTTAGTTGAAGCTAAAGACAACTGTCATTTTAATTGTCATCAATCTGTTCACCCTAGAGCGTGTGTGCAAGGGTCACAAATATTAATCAAATTATTCACTTATTAAAGATGGAAAAAGGCTAATAGTGGAATCTGTGACACACGTCCCGTCGTAATTGAGACTCGTCAGCTGTATGTACTTGCATCGCAATGCTGATGTTTATTCCAGGTCTGGAAACCAGTACCGTTTGAATCAAATAACATCACGTTATCCACTTGGCTACTAGGTTCTAATAGTCACTTTTTTGCGACATCTTTGCTCATAATGCTTGTGTATTCAGGCATTATCGAAGCAGCATGCACAGTATGCACATATGTCAACAGGAGACTGATCAATTTCAGTCCTAGACATCAATGGGAAGATTCATGTAGACAATACCAAATGAATTTATTCACGGATTACTTGGAATTATTCATACTTCTAAGACTTCACAATAACATGTAGATTAATTATTTGCAAGTAACAAAAATTTAGAACATTTAATAATGAATTTTCAATAACACTTCTATCTAAATATAACTAGTATTCTCTGTTTATTTTTCAATAGATAAACAGGAAGTGTTCAAAGTCTATATACATATATGATCAGAGCTAAACATTATTGATTAGAATTGTAAGTAATAATAGATATATCATAAAACATGACCTTGGAATATAAATGTGCTGTTACACATTCATTTATATATAAATATCATGTACATATAATAAGACAGAAACTTAATAATAGTGTTATTATAAAGTGTATATTCTAGTTATTATAGCAGTGTTTCTTAATTTGTATCATGTGTATGTTGAGACAGCCTGATGCAGTGGCTGCTGATACATTGGCTGTCTTGACCAGTATTTGTTGATGTGTATGGGATAGAAAAGCTGGGCCATCTGCTAAGCACAAACCGTCTATTGATATCCAAATTGTCCTTCGTATTCCATGCTTCTTTCGAAAAGTGAAGCTTTTAACATTCCGTCCGACCATGAGAAGAAAGAGAAAGGTTGAATGTAAACAGCCTTGTCTGACACTGGTCTTTACTTGAAATACATCTGTAGGATGTCCTCCATTCCCGACTTCTCAGTATAGTTAGTTACAATAGAATATACACCTATCGTCAGGTTTGTTACACACCTTCATCGAAAATTTAATTATATGTAAAACGAACACACGCAACTGAATAGTAATTTTCTAGCTGGTTACTAAAATCTTTCATCAAATACATTAGCTTAGCTAAAATGTCCTGACAAATGTTTTGCAGAAAAAGTACGACTAATGATTTATACCAGCTTAATCATTTTACAGCAATAAAAATATATATTTTTGAAAGTATAGGAAGGCACCATGGTGAAATCAACTATTAACATCGATACTCTCAACAACAACAACAACAACAACAAGAGCAACGAAAAGCTGTTTCAATAATTGTGACAAAAAGAGACATTCATAGATCTTTCTTTGTCACGGTAACATTAAAACCCCCTTTTTTATTATTTTTTTCTGTTTTCACTTACTACGTCATTCATTATTCAAACTCTTTCCGAAGTTTAGAATTACATCATTCATAACCGACTGATTCCAATTCATATCTTTCTTTATTACCGTTGATCTATTTTCAGTTGCTTAATTACGCAATCATCTAATAATTGTTAACTCCATGAGTTCTAATCTGTATTTCAATGTTCCGGTACTTTCTCTCCCAAATTTTATTTATTCTAACCAAATATTATATGACCTCATTAACTCTATCGGTAAATTAACGAATCGCCTTAAAATCCAGCAATCTATCAACCCATTCCTCACACCTTCTGATCATTTCAGTGACATCAATGTAAATAAGCGGGTTGCTTGCCACAGTATTATACAGCCAAAGTGATTCACACTCAGCAAGTGAAGACGACAATATCACCACCACAGTTTACATTCGGTTGGTCTACAAATATCCAGTTCGTCTCTTTTATAAAGTTTGGGGAAATCGAGCGTAGTACTCAGGTTGTCTGCGAGAAATATACTACGATATATACATTCCATTCCTGACTATCATTACATACTACTTATGTGCATAAGTAGCGCACACCACAGTATAAATAGTCTATAGAAAGTGTTCAGAGTGCGTATATTACACACATATTATTTTGAGTAAATGATGAATAGATTTTGTTCGGTGGAAAAATAATGATATTATTATTATTAACAGTTTGGTGTTGTGGAGATTATTATGTTTTTAACTGAGATTATGGGCCGATTGATGTTAGACCACAATTGAAAACCTGGAAGCACTAGACGGCCGTTTCATCCTATTGTGGGACTTCTCAGCAGTGCGCATCCACAATCCTGCTCGTGAGATTCGAACCCAGCACCTTTGGTCTCGCGCGCCAGCACGTAACCTTTAGATCACTGAGCCGGCATCCAACGGTGTTAATGTCCAACCTCGACCAATCCATGAAATTGCGCGTCCATCTCCATTGTTAATGATATTATACTAAATGACCAATTTATTTAAAGTTATTGTCAATCTTTGACGTTGATAGAGTTCTTTTCTTCCAACACAAATGTGCATCTAAGTTGGAATTTTAGTACATACAAACGGAGGTTTTAAATAGTAAACCAATTTATTCATAATAAAAATCATTCGGAAATGTTGTATAACACCTCTGTATAGCCAGGCACTGAAACAGTGTTAACTGTTTCTATGAACATGATTCAATTGTTCATTTTGATGAATCATTTTTGTGAAGATGTTTAACACCATATAAATAACAGTATTTTTGTATCATAGAGCAACCATCCACCATAAGTATTACTTGGGTTACACAAGAAAATACAGAGAGTTCAACTGTACTCTATGGTACTATGCTGTTAAATATGAAAAGTACTGGCTACGTTAAAGAGTTTATTGATGGAGGACGTGAACAACGCAAAATGTATATACATCGAGTGATCTTATCCGATTTAATTGGTAATACAACTTATTGTAAGTTTAAAAAATCCTTCTATGAATAAAAAGGATTTTTTTCTTTACTGACATCCACAGTTTGTTAATATGATAACCTTTCTGAATATATATCTCTTTGTTATAAATGAATCATATCTGACAGCATTTATTCATAGCTCTCCTGAAAAATGCTGAGTCGTCGATTTCTCATGGCTACAACACTGAGTTTAGACAAATCATGAATTATTCGAACCTAATCTCCTAAAATAAGTAATTCTGTCCTAAGCCTTAGCAGGATTATTGTGATCTCAATCCTGGATAGAGGAAGAAAGTTAGGCCTGGAGTAAGCGACCCTAAACAGTAATAAAAACCTTTCTAAATAAACGTTTACTAGGATGAAACCAATGAAATTTCAAACTTAATGAACGACTTGAATCGCGTTAGTAAATAACAGAATTAAATAATTTAAATGCGACAATGAAATTTTGAATACATATATTTTGTAAACTCGTTGATCTGGACAATCGGGGAGACGATGTGAAAGAAGTAAAGAGAAGTGAGAGAAGCGAAATAACGCGCAGTGGAGAATGCGTGTGAGCCAACTCGATTTAATCAGGCGTTAATCGATATTTCTAGTCACAAAATAATAAGTTACAGACATGTAATGAGTAAGATGAGAGATGCACACACATACGCTCATATAAAATCAGTCAAGGTTGGTAAGTGATTAATGAAGAAGGTGAAAATGTGTAAGCTAGAATAATCAATGTGTGCTTAACATAGCAACCGACACTATAACAAATACTGATAATTACCAAAAGGGGTTTTGTGGAGATTGTAGTATTTTCACTAGTTGAGATGCGTCGCTCGATTTCGTGGACTAGTTATAGTTAGACACTAACACCGTTAGATACCGTCTCGGTGGTCAGGAGGTTAAGCGTTCACGCGCGAGACTGATAGGTCCTGAGTTCGAATCTCGTGACGCGGGGTTGTGGATACGCACTACTGAGGAGTACCACAATGGGACGAAACGGCCGCCTAGTGTTTCCAATATTTCCATGGTGGTCTAGCCTCAATTGACTCATGATCTAAACTATTGAAATTACTGATAACATATTTCTAAGATTCATTCTTTGAATTTTAGTATTTCAATATGAGAAAATAAAATCAATTTGATTGACTGGTAGATATGTACTTCATTTATTTGATTCATGAGTCGAAAATGTAGATGTAGGGATCACAAAACTAGATGTCATTTTATTGTTGGATAGATATAAAAAATTTATGTTAATATGACATTATCCAATAGTAAACTTTATAAAGAGATGTTATTTTTTAGGTTAAGATATTAAATTTAACTTAAAAATTATCTCTAATCAGCATGATCAGCAAAAGTACAAACAGCTGCCCTTAACTCTTTACAGTTTCTCCGCTGATGATACTCAGCCAAAAAGATGTTCTCTGTCAGTATAGTAAATTCTTGATAAAAATGCTTAACATCAATTTCTGCACTACATTGTTAGTAATTGTAACCTTTGGGTGTCGCAATTGAATATTCTTACTCTTATAAAAGTAACGTTGAAAAGTCTTTCAATGATTTGATACATGTTTTTCATGTTGAAACTAAATTTCAGGATAATGCAAGAGTTGGTGATCAATTTATGCGTAATATACAACCAATTGCATCAAAAGTTCCTTATATGACATGTGTTGGTAACCATGAAGCTGCATAGTAAGTGAACAAACTTTGTTTAATTTATTTTCAATTAGTTTCTTAGTTTTCTACAAAGAAAATTAAACAGTAGTGTTGTGATGAAGGAGAACACAGGTGAGAACAATCAGAGTTACTTGATAAAATAGAAAGACCATACTCCAATACTTCATATGCAAAATGTTTATTAAGTGTCACAGACTTCATTGTTCCTGCATTTTCATACGAATTGCTTTCTGTTCCAGTTCTTCCCTCCTCAATCTTCTCAACCTTCTGCTTCTAGACATTCTATTCCTGACTAGCGTTATATACTACTCATGTGGACATAAGTAGCACATACCACAGTATGACAATTTTTAATCTCAATAATTGGAATTCATTTTGAAATCCATCGCATTGTACACTAACATATTAACTTGGTGAAAACATGAATTAAGTGAATGAACAGTGCTAAGTTAAACAATTTTCAACTGGCTGACATATAATTTCTCAATCAGATGTGAAAATAAAATCCACACTGCAATGTCAAAAACGTTCTCGATTCAGTAGGATTAAGCATGAATATGTACGATTTTTACATCTCGTACTCGAAATATAAATTTTGGTTTTGATATCGACTGTTGAAAAACTGATTTAACTAAGTCACCTACATCTGACAGTAGTTTACTTTGTAATGTTTTAACTTTATGGTTGAATTCATGAGTCAATTGAAGCTAGACCACCATGGAAAACCTGCAAGCACTGGAAGGCCGTTTCGTCCCGGCGTGGAACTCCTCAGCAGTGCGCACCAACGATCTCGCTCGCCGAATTCGAACCCAGGATCTTCGGTCTCGCGTTCGAACGCTTAACCTCCAGACCACTGAGCCGGTATCCAATGGTGTTAATGTTCAACTGTTAAAAAATAGACAAATTACTTCTATAGTATCAATGGGTTGTGCATAAAATCATACGCATCAGTGCCTTGTTATATAATTTTACCAATATGAATGCTAACAGTGATGTATTCTGTTTAGAAAATTGCTCACTTACTTACGCATGCTACCCCTCGTGGATGAATATATGCCACCCAACTGCACTCCCCATCCAAACCTGTCTTGGGAAATCCCTTCCAGTTCTTTCCAGTTGCTATTCATCTTTGTCATATTTGCTCCCAATTATCGACGCAATGTGTTCTTTAGTCACCCTGTCATCCGTTTCCCTTCAGGATTCCAAGTCAGAGATTGCCTCGTGATGCAGTTTGAGGATTTCTGCAATGTATATCCTATCCACTTCGAAGGTCGTTTTCTAATTCCATCTTCAGCTCAAATTTAGTTTGTTCTCTTTCACAGAAGGCTGTTCCTGATGGTATCCGATGAACACCAGTTGAGAATTTTGTGTAGACAAGTATTTATCAATACTTGTATGTTTTGATAATGGTTGTGATACTGCTCCACGTTTCAGATCCATACAGTAGATCTGCCTTGATGTTCGTAATGAAGATTGTGACTTTGATATTGGTTGACAGACAGTTGTTTTAAGTCCCATATGTTCCTGAATTGTAGGAATGCGGCCGTTGTCTCCTAGTCCTGTTAATACAATACTAGGTAAATAAAAGAAAAGTTTTTGTACTAAGTGTACGATTACTAGTTGATAGAAATTCAATTGACAACAATTCCTTAAAATAAAGAAATAGATTATCATGATTTAACAGCTAATTAGTACTTTCTTCTTTAATAAACGCTTTTTTTAGCAATTTCTCAAATTACAAAGCAAGATTCACAATGCCTGGAGGTGATGGTGAATCACAATTTTATAGGTAAATCAATATTGCTATCTCATAGTACTAAGAAAATTTATCAACATAAATGGACAACTTGCCAATTTATATCACTTTTTTTCAATGTTTCATTAATGTCCGATTAAAACAGAAATTAAACCTTTGAAATCAATTAGTTATACGTTTGTTTTGATGTTCCAAATATGTTGATGCTACAGAAGTAGAGCACTTTATTATTATTATTATTATTATTATTATTATTATTATTATTATTATTATTATTATTATTATTATTATTATTATTATTATTATTATTTGAACACAAGTAGGTTATATCTGATCAGATTGTTCGACATTTATTGCATGATGGCCAGATATGGATAAGAAGTAATCAGCTATCTGTTCTAATGATTCACAGAGTAGAAAAACATGTTGTCTTTTTGTTTACAAAGCGTTTATACTAATATCAGGATGAAGCTGATTGTTATTTATCTCCTGCGTATGCGTGTATGTCTAAAAAAAAGTTAAATCCAATCTTAATTGTTCTTTTTTTTTTAAATAGCTGTTTATGAAAAGTGTGTGACAGTGAGTTCATATAAACGTTGACTGCGATCACGTCAATCGCTCTCTTGTTTTACCACCCATGTCTCATATTATTAGTTGCGATTAATTTTCTTTTTTTTTAATTTAGCCACTTTTAACTAAAGCTTGTTTAATTCTTAGTTTATTCTCCAGGCCATGAAATGTGATACTTACAGGTTTACAATTAATCTACTAATTAAGTATATACATCTATTTCTCCTGCTTCCATTACATTCCCCTTAACATCCGATGTTTCGTCATTGATGTATTAAATGTTATTCATGTTGATAAAAAGTAAACTATTAGTTAAGTCGGCATGAGCTGTTCGCAAATTTATTTTTATATCTGAAATATTTTGTTTTTAAGGTAGAAGTCGGTCTTCATGTGTGATATATCCCGACGAGAATAATGAATGTTCACTGTTGGAATCTATTTATAGTCAAATATGACAAACATGTTTTTATTGTATAATTGTTAAGTAACGAGACTATGTATATTCATATTGCTCTTACTTAAAGCTTTATTTCGATCTATAGATTATTATTATTGTACGATATAACGTTTTTGAGTTATGTCCAGTTTATTAATTACTGCCTCCCACATTCACAGCCACTTTTGGCTAGATCTCGTACAAATGTCGTTTTCTATTTTATCGTGTGATGTGGTCTGTTTGGTTAGTATATAAACCCGGTATGTTTGAAATACATGATTCATATCACGGAAGCTGTTATTGATGTTCTAGACCCAACAGACAAGGCTAGGTTGAAAGAAGAACAGATAAGGATTCTAGACTGCTCGTACTGGTTTATGCGTAATTGGTCTCGTTGATAAATTACTATTCTCTAATTGGCGGTATCATTACGTTATATATTAATAGGGTAAAAAATATAACAAATGCGGTTTTATTTAGTCCCTTTATAATTTAAGCATTTTAACCATAATATGATTCTCTAACAAAGATGTATTTATTATTAAAACGGGTTTTGTGGAGATTTTAGATATTTCAATGGTTTAGATCATGGGTCAGTTGAAGCTAGACCACCATAGAAAACCTGGAAGTACTGGACGGCCGTTTCGTCTTAGTATGGGACTCCTCAGAAATGTGTATCCACGATCCTGCCTCCTGAAAGATTCGAACCCATGACCCATCAGTCTTACGTGCGAGCGCTTAACCATCAGGCCACTGAGCCGGCATCCAACGGTGTTATTGTCTAACTTCAACCAATCCACGAAATTGCACCATCGTCCAACTGTATTTAGCTGTGTAAATTTTGTTTTGGTTAATCAAATGTTCAACCGTTTGATGTTCATTTTTTGTGGTTAATCATTATTTAGTTATAATATTACAAGATTTCAAGCGACGCCGGCTCAGTGAGCTAGTTGTTAATCACTCGCGCGCGAGACTGATAGTTCCTGAGTTCGAATCTCGCGGGGGTGTGTAGGATCGTGGATGCACATTGCTGAAGAGTCCCATACTGGGACGAAACGGCCGTCCAATGCTTCCAGGTTTTCTATGGTGGTCTAGCTTCAATTGACTCATGATTTCAACTATTGAAAGATATATATAATAAAATAATGTAATTAAGTTTCGTTTTTATGTAAGTTTCATTAGTTTTATGTATGAATAGAAAACATGTACAAATGTTTCTTAATATTAATAGAATATTTTTATTTCAATTTATTCCCATCAAGCATTCAGTGTAATGAAATAGATCATTATAGAAAACTATGAAAAATAAGCTTTTTTTGCTTCTGTTTTTGGAGCTTGTGAAAATAATCAGATGGCATAACAACAAACTTTATTTGCATGGCAGAAAATTCTTTTTCTTTTTCATGTTAGAGAATCAATGTAATTTTTTATTTATCCATATATTTGCAATTCGTGAATGATGGTTATTCCATTTATTCTATTCACTATTACTCGATCAGTCACAGTTTCTGTTTTCTTTGAATATATACAAGTAAGAATAAGTAAATATCTTGTTGCAGCCTATGTTATAAAGTGAAGGCAACTATCATCAGATTTTGGCAATGAAAATCGATAAAATTCGTGGTCTTGTGCCCTATCAAATTACAACATAATGATACCGTTTTATTGAACAACAACACAATTTGTACCAATCCGATGTGATTGAATACAACGTTACAGCATATCTAAATAAAATCTGAGAATCATATAGTAATTAATTAATTTGCTAAATATCAATCAGTCGTCTCAGACTTCACTTTTCTTGCATTTCCATACCAATTTCTATCTGTTACCGTTATTCCTTTGTTAATTCCTGACTAACGTTATATACCACTTATGTGGATATAAGTAGCACACACTACACAGCCTATTAGAGAACAGTGATTTATCGACAGGATCAATGACGTGTACGAGCAGCCAGGAGTCTTTATAGGCTCTTCTTTCAGCCTGGCCCTGTTGAGTCCAGAACACCAATAACAGCCTCCGTGATATGAATCATCTATTTCAAACATACCGGGTTTAAGCAAAGATGGATAATGGCTAGCATGGGAATCCAGGACGCGCGTTTTCTCCTATTTAGGACTCGTCCGATAGATGTGCCTGCATCCCAGAGTTGACGATCACTCCAGAACTCGAAACCAGTACCGTTTGCTTCAAACGCGATCACGTTATCCACTTAGCTACTGAGTTCTGATAGCCACTTGCTTGTGTAATGGGGTAAAGTTTACATTCACTAGGTGTTGTTCTACTTGTTCCTTCACATTATTGTCTGGAACTGCAGTTGATCAGTCTCCTATTAACATATGTGCAACCTGTGCTGATGATTCACGAACGGTATTGGGTTCGAGTCCTAGAGTAGACATCAACTCTGGGATGCATGTACATCCATCTGACGAGCCCAAAATAGGACGAAACGCGCGTCAAACTGGATTCCACTGCTAGTCACTATCCATCTTTGCTTAGAAAGCTTGTGATTTAAGGCTGTGTCGAGGCAATCCGCACAGGATGCTCATATGTCAACATGAGACTAATCAATTACAGTCCTAAATAACAATGGGAAGATACAAGTAAACCAACACCAAGTGAATTCATACTGGGTTTATATACAAATTAAACAGACCGCATCACACCATAAAATAGAAAATGACATTTGCACAAGATGAACATTGATTGTTTACAACTTATGAACCTGAATGAGGTATATCCTTCCAAATCCCAAGAATTGGGAGTAGTGTAAGATGTCTGACGTCACGTTTGTTTGATTTCTTCAAACTTGCAAACTACTAACCAAAAATAAACCTACTTCATGATGATGATGCAGTGACATATACCGTTCATGAAGTGTTGAGAAACTAGACTACATATATGCCAATAGATTTATGGAGGAAGTGTAATCGACTTCAAAACAATCAAATTAACAGTGACTGATATTCGAAGCTCTCAGTAAACGGACAAGCAGCATGATAATGAGAATTAAACTTTTCAATTATGATCTTCCAACTTAATTGTTTGCTATCACGTGTGATTAACGCAGTAACATAATCATTTTGCACGTATCTAAAAAGCTAAACTGCCAGTTGCTTTACATTTGTTACTATCATGATCTACACGGCCAATATAACCTCAGCCATAATGAAAAATTTTATAAGCCTACTGAATTCTGACTAGAATAACATATACATTAACATCAGTTACCTGCATCTGAATAGATTTCAAAGTGATTAACTCAACGTTAGACTATAAAAGTAAATCGATTTCCGCTTGTTACAGTACAACAGTTTAGTATACAGTTGTTTTGTGAACTATATTCGATTTGACTATGGTTATTTCTCGGAGGACTACGGTAAACCTCTGGTAGGCAAAACGTTGAATAGAACTAATTTCAGCTGCTCATATCATTAAAATAAAAACGTATCCATATAATTTAAGTTATAGGGAATTAGCACTTTATTAAGGATTCATTTTTTCAGAAGTCCCAGTGATTTACGATTGTTTCACTTATTTTCGTCGAATATAACTATTTATTATGATTATGAACATAGATCATTTTAACAAAATCCACTCTATATCCCAAAATTTATCCCTAAATTCGGAAACTGCTCTCGATATCAAACATTTTTGTATTGCAAACTGTTGATCATAAAGTGTTCTTAACTTTTTTATGGTTTTAAACTGCTACTATTTATCATTACATTGCGGAAGAATACATATAATTAAAGGGTCGTTTAGTAAGTTAGACTATGATTCTTAGAACTTGAAGAACATCTAAGGTTTCTAACGTTTAGTTTCGTAGAATTTTCGAAGCATTTGTCATACATTTGGAAGATTCAGAACTATGTATACATGGGAAACCTGCGTAAATTCTTCTTCTAAAATTGTCTTGATCTTTCGTAATTTTTGTTCTTCTCTTCATTGATGAGCTTCACTTAAATCATTTCTATAAATCTTTGATCATCAAATGATTTGTCACCGTTTCTATTATCTTCCTAATAACAGTTCATCTCAAATCCAGCATTTGATCATTTCACATTGAGCCCTCCTTTTTCAATCATAATTCTATATCTATCTTCATGATCGGATATCAATTAAACTAATAGTTCCCTTCATTAAAATCGCATTTTCGTATCTTTATTTATTTTACTTCACTGTTACCATAATTAACAAAATTTTATTACCACTATTATTGCCATTATTATCATTTTGGAAAACTAGTATATATTTGCGATTATACTGCTCGATAAGTAGATTTACTGAAAGGAGAATTCTTCTTATTTTACGGATATATATCTCCAACCCAGTCATGTCCATTATTGTTTGCAAACGATTTATACTACTGATTTTAAAAATAAATAGTTCAAAACCTAGGGAAACATATTTTTCCATTAAACATTATTGTCAACTAGCATAATGAATAACAAGATAACGTATTTTATTATGAAAACTTGGGAAATAAATAGGTTGTTCATATTTAAAGTCATGATATAGAAGCTCAGTAGGTGAATTCAAGATCGATTTTATAGTCTTGATATAATAACTTGATAGAAAAAGCCTGATAATTTTTGTTCTACAACATAGAAATTATCAGTATGGGGTTGTGGAGATTAGTAAGTTTTTGATTGAGATCATGAACCTACTGATGTTAGACCACCATTGAAAACCTGGAAGCACTGAACGACCGTCTCGTCCTATTATGGGACTCCTCAGCAGAGTTCTAGTGAAAAGCCATGACCACTGGAACTAATCCGTGTCGGGTAGAGACAGGTATCTACCTCAGTACAATGGAAGATGGTCGCGCAATTCCATGAAATGGTTGAGGTTAGACATTAACATCATGAGATGCTGGCTCAGTGGTCTAGTGGCTAAGCGCTCGCGCGTGAGACCGAAGGTCTTGGATTCGAATCCCACGAGCGTGACCGTGAATGTGCACTGATGAGGAGTCTCACATGAGGACGAAACGGCCGTCCAGTGCTTCCAGGTTTTCAATGGTGGTCTAACATAAATCGGTTCATGATCTCAGTCTAAAACAGAGAAATTGCTAAACTTAGAAGAAATTGATTTGCTTTAAGTCAATCTCGAAAAATTTCAAAAATCATTCACGATTTTATTATGAAAATTTTGTTCATAATTTGTTTTACTAGATAATTTTCAAGCTACTTCAGCCTGGATACTTTTCATACTAAGAAAAACGGAATTTCACGAAAGATTGCATTCTGTAGAATACTTAACTGGTAGAAAGTTAGTTGACTAGAAAAAAAGGGGTAAATCGTTGTTAAAGACTGCTGTCATACGTAGTGTCAATTCTATTAACAAACCTTAACAACTTCATTGACAGAAATCAAAAAAAGGAACAGCTGATCAATAGAGAGTCGAACGAAATAGATGAGTCTTTCACTTTCATAACGCATTTTCCCGCAATTGTTGACATTTTTTCAATGTTTTTATCCTTGCTAAAAGTTCCAAGTTGAGTGATTTTAGAAATTATCAGGTTTTTTATATGTACTATGTAGACAATAAAACAAATTACAGTATTCAGGTAAGTAGATGATGAATAAAAACGTTGATTGCCTGTTCTTGATAAGAAGCTATAGAACTAGCAAAACTCAAAGTAATAAACATACCATCAAACTACTGTCAAAAAATATTATTGATTTAAAAACACCATTACATATTTCATATATCGCATAAATAATATTTTAATTTAAGATGGTGGTTAAAGGTAGTCAACAGGAAACATTGGACCTAGGTTTCGTACTACTTGGTACTCGCCAGTAAGGTGTAGTTGTAATCTTGAGGAAACTGATTCTTCCTGATGGATTCAATTCCCTGCCACTCGGCTTCACATCCAAAACGTTACCACTGAGCTATCAGGGCCACAACTAACCTGTAGGACTGAGATGTATTTACAATTGACTGATCACTGGGTGGTGATCATTTACATGTATGTCAGGTCCTAGTGGCCATATTGCAGCTTGGTCGATAGGATTCGATCTGCACTTAGAAGGACGTGACATACATGACAATTAGAGATACAAAATTCCGAACGATTGTTAACCAGTTTCTGTTTAACAAAAAACTTTAAAACTGAAAATTGTTCTGAATTGTATATATATATATTCGAGACGGAGAAATGAATGTAAACAAACAATTACACTACATGGTTTGTTCTAATCTAAAGTGCTTAGCCAACAGGAAGTAATATAAATTGAAGTAGACACGTATAAAATGTAGACTTGTCCATGATAACACTTTAAATTGTTTACAAATAGAGAGCTAATAAAATGGCATTCAATTTTAGATCATTTTACAGTCATCTATGTAATGATTCTTAGTACCTAAAAAAGTCTGTAGTAGTAGTAGTAGTAGTAGTAGTAGTAGTAGTAGTAGTAGTAGTAGTAGTAGTAGTAATAGTAGTAGTAGTAGCAAAATCGAATTATATCTCAATGTAAGTTATCATGAATGAATATAAGCTACATGATATGTAACATGTATTCAAGGAAAAAATTATGGCTATTCATATTCACATTTTAGAAAAGGAAGCTGTTATTAAGTTGGATGATATATATGTTTGATAGAAAGAAGATCTGAGTTAAAGGAATCACACTACTATCAGTACCAGGAAAGATTTTCAACAGAGTGTTGCTGAACTGGATGAAAGATTCAGTAGACGCACAACTTTCAGATCAACAGGTCGTGCACACACCAAATTGCGACACTATGGATCATCGTTGAACAATCGGTTGGATAGAATTCGTCACCATATATCAACTACCTTGATTATGAGAAAGCATTTAACAGTGTGTATTGGAGGACATTATGGAATTCTATGAGAATTCTATATTGTACCAAAATATAATATTGAATAAAGCCATTAATAATAATAATAAACTTCTTCGATACTACGGAGTACCTGAGACAATCGACAATATCATCCGAATTCATACAGTGTAATGTGTTGCATGGGGGACAGCTGACAGATGCATTCCAAGTGAGGACCGGAGTCAGGCAAGGTATCTTACTCTCTCCTTCCTCTTTCTTCTGGTGGTCAACCGGATTATGAAGATCACATCTGACGGGAAACACGGAATAAAATAGTTAGGTTGGATGAAACTAAACGGTTTGGACTTTGCAGATGACTTGGCCCTTCTATCCCATACACATTAACAAATGCAGATGAAGACAGCTAGTGCACCAGAAGTCTCTGCATCAGTAGGCCTCAACATACACATGGGAAAAAGCAAGACCCTAAAAACAACACGGAGAACACCAACGCAGTTACATTTGTTGAAGAACCACTAGAAAGGTGGAAATTTTCACATATCTGGGTAGCATCATCGATGAACGTGCAGGATCTGATGCAAACGTAAATACAAGGATCAGCAATTAAGGACAGCATTCCTACCATTGATGAACATATGGGACTCAAAACAACTGACAACTAATGTCAAAGTCTGAATCTTCAATACGAACGGCTAGACGGTCTCACTGTATAAAGCTGAAACGTGATGAACTACAACAACCATCATCAAAGCGTACAAGTATTGATAAACAGTTGTCTACGTAATATACTCAATGTCCGCTGGCTGAATAACATCAGAAACAGCCTACAGTGGAACAGAACAAACCAACTTCCAGATGAGGAAGAAATTAGGAAAAGATGTTGGGAGTGTATAGGACACACATTGATGAAATAATTGAACGGCATCACGAGAGAAGCGCCAACTTGGAATCCTGAAGGAAAGCGGATGAGAAGAAGGCCAAAGAACACACAGCATTGAGAATTGGGAGCAGACATGAAAAAGATGAATAATATCTGGAAACAACTGGAAAGGAGTGCTCAAGACAGAGTCGGATGGAGAATGTTGGTGAGCGGCCTATGCTCCTGCATGAGGGGTAACAGGCGTAAGTAATATCTTTTGATCTATTTTTCATTATACTACAAAACTAAACTATTTTCCTGATATTCCCAAAATTTTATTTTCACTTTTTAATCTGACTGTATTAAACTCTTATTTCAATCATTTGTGTTAAATAATTTATTTATGAACACAGTTACCATTAGCATAAGAATCTTTTGCTTAGATCCTAACTGATATTTCAGTACCATGTTTGTACATAATCTTCACTTGCATCATGTTACTCTAGTGAAATTTGTGTCTAAAGCAAATTCTAACAAACCTCAATTCTAAAATCATGTTAAACCTTAATTGTATATCAATTTCAAAACATTATTGATTGTATTCAGCCAATGAGAAGCAGGTATATATAAATGGTCAGTGCTTCACAACTAACAGTCATCTGTAATCATATTTCATTGAAGACTAACATAATGAAATAGAAAAACGTGCATCGCTGAGGAGTCCCATACTAGGACGAAACGGCTGTCCAGTGCTTCCCGGTTTTCCATGGCGGTCTAGCTTCGATTGACTCATGATTTCAACTAATGGAATTTCTAAAATCTCCACAAAACCTCTTCTGAAAAAAATGTATATTTTGCTCAAAATTAATAATCACAGGCTTTGAAAGAGGAAAATAATAAATTGATTGTTGAGAGTTATATAACAACAACAATTAAACGTCTATAATACTGTTGTAATCAAATGAATCTTTATTATGACAAGTATATAAACCTGCTCCATGTTTATCCTTGATGATTGTAAAGGAATCAATCACTTGACCTTTTCTTTCCTTTAAAAATGTTAAAAATAAACACAATAAACGTTAATTATGAAATACAGTTAAGCTGAATCATTCATTGTAAAAACTATAAAAGTTATGATCAAAAGCAAATGATATTTAATCTTAAGAGTTAAATGCAACTGTTCTGTTTTATGAAGGTTAGTTCTATTAAATCGTTGTTGATCTATAGATTTGGTGTTTACTGTTGAGTCGGCTTCCGAGAACTACAACGGAGTCTCCAGAGGCCTTAAAGGAGCCGAAGATTTCCAGCCAATCAAAACACGATGGAGCTTTCTAGAATATCAATGTGGCGTACTACTATTAGTCAGTAGCATAAGATGTCCTTTAGCGGATTGGGCAATATATAATATTGATTTAACAAATGCTAATATCTATAAATACCTGTGATTTTCTGTACACTTTGATTCTTACCAAATAAACACTTCTCCAGCTTTTCTTCTGTCTTCTGATTTGCGACGGGGAAGTTCAGCGTTCTAATGTCACAGTCGTAACCCGTATACTATGTTAATCAAGTAGCAAACTTAACAATTACCCTATCAATTATGCAGTTTATATATTATTTCGAGTTGATTATCATTTATATGAATAAATCGATAGATTATACTATCCTGACTAGAAAATAGAGTATGATATATCTTACGTCATAAAGTCGTGAAGTACGAAACAGAATATTCCAGTAAACAACATTCAGAATAGTTTTCACTAGTAAAAGTGTAGAACAGAAACTGTTCCTTTTGTAAAGGTTTATATCGTTTGCATAATTGAACAATTACAAGTTACAAGAACGTTAGGAAGCTCTTATAACAAAAAGGGATAAATGATTGACTCAAGCATCTCATGTGTCACATAAAATAATCATAGAAATCGAGCTGATTTTGTCGAGACAGGTTAGCTTAGTTTTGATCATGGTTTGATAGGAACAATTTTGAAACTTTCATTTACACATAAATAATTAACTAATTAATTGAAGGTTTATTCTAAGTTCAATCACTTCTTGATAGAATTCAAACTGTTCATTATCAGTAATCGATTGATGTTTAGTTGTAATAAATAAGAACTAATCATTTTTACATAAATATTACTAAAAAGGATAACAATGAGTTTGTCGGTGTCCTTACATGATAATTTCGAATAAATTGAGCATGGGATAGATTTAAATAAAGCCAGAACAAATATTGATGTAGAATAATATGAATTCATTATATTTCGTAGTTTCTCATCAGCTACTTACAACCAAATATGTATTAGAATTTTACGTATATATCTGGAGCACATACATTGGAAGAACCGAGAGAAGAGTACATGTTCTCATTTATGAGCACATTCCAAAGAAATTGAGGATGTGAAGGACTAGGGCTCTCAACAGTGTAATAGCTCGGTATTTACTTCACACCGCGTATACCATTAACATTCCTCAAGCTTTTGAAATTAGTTGCAGACAAAGAAATACGGCTTCTCCCCGTTTTGCCGAAGCGATTGTAATTAAAAAACTCAAACTGGATCTATGTGTTCGGAAAGAGACATTATTAAACTTATTACTTCCCTGGTAATCCATATTTTTTTGGTCATTATTTTTATTTTGTTAATGTTTACTTTGAGTTATATTCTTCTTCCATTACTGAATTCTTAAACCACCTCTTCACTCATACACTTCCACTCACTTGATTCTCTTAAATTATGTGAACTCTTCAAAGTCTATTCAATTATTATGTAACCCATCTTATCAGTTTTGAATTTCATGAATCTTATGTAAACCCTTCATTACTTCTAAAATTGTCACACAATTTATCTTATCTGTCATTGAACTCCACTCAACTATTACATCACCATCCTTAATGTTTCTTTGATTCTAACACCAAATAACCTCTGACCTGTCCTTGCATATATATATATATATATATATAGTTATCATTGATAACCTTTGTCATTCCAATCCTTTACGTTCATTTATGTCTATTGTTCCATACTATTTCTTACTTCAATGTAAAATCCTAATACATATTTGGTTGTAAGCAGCTGATGAGAAACCACGAAACATAGTGAATTCATATTATTCTGCATCAATATTTGTTCTGGCCTTATTTAAGTTCATAACGGGAACTAATTGCGTGTAATTGGACGGTTTGTTATGAGGTAAACTAATATTTTTGTAACAACTCAATGAGTAGAAAAACTAGATTTTCTGACGTTTCGTAACTCAATGGCAGCCACTTCTTTTCAATCTTGAATTGTTTAGATCTGTTTTATGGTTGATCGCATATAATATTCTTGTATTGTTTCCTTAGTACTATTTAAACTTGAATTAATTTCGATTTGATTATTTATTCTCTGAAGAAGTGGCTTACACCGAGTCACGAAGCATCAGGAGATCTAATTTTTCCACTCATTGAGATGTTACAAATATATTATTTTATTTATAAAATAATAACAAGTTATTTTTGAGCGATTATTCATTATTCAAAGGGCACTGCTGAAGAGTCCGGTGCTTCCATGTTCAGTATGGTGTTTTAGCTTCAACTGACTCATAATTTTAACCATTGATATTATTCAAATTGTTGGTTTTCCAAACTTCAGTGATAATATTACAACTGGAGTTCATAATTATAGAACGTCAAATTTTTATTCTCATTAGATAAACTTTCCAGTAACTGAAATTCGCAGGGAACAAAACGTTTGTTGTGTGTTTTTGGAGATTTTCCGTTTATCATTGAAGCATAGATTGAGCTTATGTATGAAATCAAATAGTGCAGTTAATTTTGGTGGAGTTTTGTTCTCTGAGCTGGATGGTTTGGTCGTGGTCAGCGAACAAAACTTCACCAAAATCATCCACCTGAGCTACAAATCTTCTCCACCATCTCAGTGCAGTTAATGTTTATAAAGTATGCAGTTGAATATTTTTACACATATAGATTTTCTTTAAATAATACATTCTATATTTGATTAGTTGATAAAAGATCATTTTTATGGTAGGAAATAAACAAAACTTATTTTGCCCATTGAACTGTTGACTGTGATCGAATACATCACTGGTAATTCAATTAAAAAGTATTTTTCTTTTGGTGCATTATCCCCTGCATGAAATAAACATATTAATAAACGTCCTAGTATGTTATCCATATGAGTCAAAGTTTGATACAGTCAGTTAATAAACTTTCAACATGATTTATTGAAGGATTTATCTACAGTTCACTTCATATTACCAGGGTTATTTCAAGTTGATGACGAAATGATTGTTTCATAATTCCAACTTGATATATCAACCGATAGGCATCCTACTTTGTTATATGGAAATACACATAAGAAATATTAATTAATTTCAGTATTTAAATAAATAAGAGAATAACATTTACATTTTCCACTGAAATTTGTTCAATTTCTAACTGAGTAACGTTATGTATCGTCATTCTAGTAAATCCGAAATCAGTTGTTCGAAATGCAGACCAAGGTTTCCCACCATATATAAATGTATCTTTACCTTCATTTGATCCAGCAGCTCCACTAACAATATGTATTGGAGCGTTTGGATTATTGTATGGATTTTGACTCGTTGTAGAATTACAAACCTGAAATATGAACATTTGATTAGTGATAATACTGAAAAATTGTTCAATGTTATTAATTTAATCAATTTTATTTATTTGGACTAATACATATTGGTACAAAGGTGCACCAAACAGATATGCGGAACATAAATCGTCCGATTTTTGTGAGGGCTGAGATACTGTACGGGTACCCGCACCGAAGTGGGTGGTCTTCTTAGGAGGCCACACCCGCAGCCTTCGACCTAAGGGGGTGAAGCGACGTCAAGAGATGCAGTCCCATGGTAGCAGGTGACCAACAATTGGTCCATACGTCATTTACTGCCTCACGATCCTGGAGCCCATGTGCACCATTGGTTTGGAATCGGGGTTTTTCAACTCCCCTAGATGAACCCTCCATGTCCACCAACCCGATTAAAGTGCTGGACATTCTCTTTTCGTCCTCTTAATTTCATAAACAACAGTAATGACGCAAGAAGGCATTGAGTAGGACTTCACTGGCAGTGGCTGTATACGCGTGGTCATGTGAGAGCATTTGGAGAGGGAGAGCTGACTCTCCCCACCCTCGGTCGTACCAGGGCATTCGGAGACAGTTTAATCATAACTTTGATTTAATTAAAGTTATGAGACAAGAGCCATATGATAGATTATCAGATAAATAAATGGAACAGTTTATCCAAGTTATACAAGAAGTATTAAGTATACAATATGTTAAAAACATTGTCATTGGATGTAATATGCTAAAGATGTAACCATAAGAAATAACTACACGTAACTAAGATATTTATTCAATAATATTGAGTTGATTATTGAATATATTGACTAGTTTATATACACACATCAAATAGTTTAATGAAAATAAGTAAATATAATTGTAGATTACATCATGTTTATGAAAAATATTTGACTAGTGTTCAGGATGGTTGGAAGAAAATTAGGGGCGGCCAAACCAAAAACGTGGCTTCAGTGCTTGGAGTCACTAACTTCTGGTCTGATCCATGTTGGTAGATGCAGACTACTTGGTTTTCCATGGTGTCTAGCTTTTATTGACGTATGAGTTAAATTACTAGATTACTACAATCTCCACAAAATCCGTTTCCGATAGTGATAAAATACATTGTTAATGAGCAGTTGGTTATTTGTAATTTATGCTGAAGAATGGTTATTAACACGAAACATAGTTCAAGTATTTCTTGACAATCACTTACAACCGCATGACCTATATATATAGACTTACGGTTCTGTTGTAAACTGGCCAAAATCTCTCATATGAGTGTTCATGACCAGCAATGATTAAATCCACACCATACTGATAAAATAAGCTTTCCAATCCCATAAGATATACATTTTTATGATGGTCAGGTGATATGTCGAATCCGGTGCGTACAATATTGTTTTCAAAATCACAATGCATTGGATCAAAATTATTTGAACAATACATTGGTCTGTGACCTATTACAATAATCCATGGATGATTTTTTCGATTTTCTGGTTTATTCGCTTCCTTGAAAGAAATAAGCGCGACAAAACTGTCTGTCAAGTAAGTATGAAGAGTGAAATTATAAACTTATGAAAATCAAACATGTATATGATACACAAAACATTTCACTTCAAAACTCTCACAAATGGAACTCAAAACATATAATTAATGTTTAAATCAACATGTTAAAGGAATGGTAACTACGTCCTGTAAATCTAGCATTCTTACAATGAATCTAAGAGAATTGACATCTTATTTGTTTTTTTGATTGGCTTTCAGGGTTCCGATGAAACTAAGCCCATGCTTTTGGAATGTTCGAATTTTTGTAGTTTACATCAAAGGGTACTTTTATTTAGGCAAACTTTGAAAACTAGGAAGTGATAGACCGCTATGTCGTTCTAATATCAGACTATTTCGAAAAGTGTATATATGATCCACCATCGATCGAATTCATCTAGCTCACCAAACTTGCATCTAACATTTTACATAATCAACTACAATCAATTCAAGATGTTGTGCAATCGTCTTCTATTTATTACAGTAGTAAACTAACTCATAGCTACTGTGTCTGAATCGTAACAATCATCACTATCCATTACAACTTTTAGAATCAAGTCTCAAAATTAGTCACCGGTAAATACAGGATTATTGTCAATGCAGAAGGATTATGAGAATTGTTCATATAAACAGTTCATATAAACGTACAAATTTACTAACTAACTTGCAGATAATCAAGTCCTCTTGAACTATTTGTAATTGTAGTAATTTGAAATGAATCTTATAACGATTATAATGAAATATTTCTCACTTTAATGACCTACTGTTGTACAGATTTATTTGTCATTATATAGATATCTAATTTACATATTACTATTTACTATCAATTGAGTTATTCATAAAAATAAACTTTCTAAACAAAAAACCTACTTAATAGTTGAATTCATGAGTCAATTAAAGCTAGACCATCGTGAAAAATCTGGAAACACTGAACGACCGTTTCATCCTAGTATGGGACTCCTCAGCAATACGCATTCACGATCCCGCCTAACGTGATTCGAACGCGAAAGCTTAACTTCTGAACCACTGAGCCGGCATTCAACGGTGTTAATGTCTAAATTCAATCAATTCACAGTGTCCATGTTGACAACAGTGTGAGTAGTATAATTTATTCACTTTTCAAAATCCATATAAATAAAGTATTCACACACATCTGAGAGATTTTTTTAAATTTAATTAACTAATTCAAGTAAAAATACCAGAGTTATATTTTAAAAGGTTCGATACTCGATTGTGAATTTCTTTCAACAACAAACTGTTTGGTCATAATCTTAATATTCATTTTACTTTTCTAATAGTATTGTGAATCAAACGGATAAACTACCGATTTACAAACATGGTGGTACACCAAAATACAGTGAATTGTTCAAGTGTTTAAAGTAGGATGGAATTTACTCATCTGAACGAAATAATTTTATCTCATTTATTGGTAAGGCAGATGTTTATCTTTGTAGACTTGATTTTCTCATGTGTTGTCATTAGTCAATACTGTACAGCTGTCAACGTATACATAAAAAGTCTATTCATCTACATTACATGGGTTTTTTTATCGACATAGTTCTATAACCTCATTGCAAATTCGATGGAGAGAATCAAATTAAAACCTAAACATAAACACGATCAGAAATCAGGTTATTTATTAGTGTGCATGACTAAAGTTGTGTAACTGACTATCTTAGTAACTAATCCCCTGAGTATTCAGTGACATATATATATCAATATATATATATATATATATATATATATATATATATATATATGTTCAAGCAAAATTCCATAAACTGACCGCTAACTTACTAAGCATAAAATTCAGAACATATGTTTCTTGGTGTAAAATTAATACCTATTCAAATAATCATAATCCAATTTTAAGTGTGTCATTTCTCAAAAATGTGATATCCTGAAGTTTTTGTCGAGACTCTAAATTATGGACGAGCCAATCAGAATTAGGATAAGGGTTTTAAGACTTTGGCGCGAAATTCACTCATCCATTTGGCCAAATAGCGTCTTGGTATATTAGCTGATGTCAGTTGGTGATGAGAAACCGTAAATTTAATTCCTAACTCTAACCGTCTATAGTGAATCATAATATTTATTCTTCAAACTGCTTTTTAACCATCATTTAACCTTAGTAAGTAGGTAAACACTCTCAGAGTCAGTTTAGCGTCACTCGATTGTCGTCCATAAATTATAGTCTCACCAAATAATTTATTTCATATATGATGATATTTGGGAATACATTAATGTCAGTTTCAAAAAGTTAGTTATAGTTACTGACTATTGTAGTTTAATGAGTTAGTGTTATAGATTTGTGTGACGAAACCTGTTTTAATTTATATTTCACTCCAATATTGTTGCGATTCAGGATTCACATTATGCTTCTAAATAGACTAGAATGTTTTTAATGATTTAGCCCAAAGCCATTTGCTAAGTATTATTCAATACATATTTTATAGACAAACTACAATTAAATTCATTTTGTATTGTTTGTTTGAATCTTTCCATTGATGTTTAGAACTGCAATTGGTCAGTCTCTTATTGGCATGTATGTATCTTGAGCGGATCACCTCAATACTGCCTTAAGTCACAAGCATTATAAACAAGGATGAATGGAAGCTAGCAGTGGAATCCTAGATGTGCATTTCGTCCTATTCGGGAATAGTCATTTGGGTTGGTTGTTCAATGGTTTATCAATACTAAACTGAATTTCTTATGAATAATTAATTATCTTGACTTTTTCAAACAAGTTTGTGGGTCGCATTTGTTGTAAGCTTTCTAAAAGCATCACCGTAGACAAAATAATACACATAGCTTAATGACATATTATAGGAAATTAATCTTACTTGTAAATCTTTAATCAACCAATCATATTGCATCACTAATGTTTTCCATCCATAAAATAAAAAGTAATATAATTCACTAGAAAATGCCACAATATGCGCTGGTCCAACGTTAAAACTAAAAGTGTATAAAGTATGATAATACGTTTCTCATAACAGTATCCATCATGAAGGCAAATGAAAGTAAATTAAAAATGTGTTGTTAGTTCATTTCGGAAGTCATTCAATCTCTTGAAATTATAAGAAGTCAATTATCTTTATAAGTTTTTCTTGTAGTGTAGAAACCTAATGAAAGCATCATAACTTAGTCGACTTTTATGCGTGTTTCTTTTTTTTGCTGATATATTTTCAATTACTTTTACCGTCTTATCATCGCTGCAAAACGTAGCTGACCTTTACACATACGGATCATCCAAAGTGTAATGCGATGTCTAGTAAAATCTGGAAAAAACCCTATCAAAAGCAACATAGGAGGATAATTTCATTGGATGCCCACATCTTGATATTCGGATCATAAGCCTGGTGTGCCTGTAGCTCTTCTAGAGTTACTACCGGTCCCAAGCCCTGGTAAAGGAGGAGGGTTGGGGATGGGGTTGGCGACCTCATCCCGTAGAAAACTAACTCGCTAAAAAAACGCTAACCAGAAAAAATACTTCGAACCACTTAAACCCTGTCCTTGGAGTTAGAAGTTCTTCATTTAGAAGACTTATAACGCTTCATGGTGAAAGCCGAGTTTCTTCTGAAGCCACGAGGCCGATGCACCTTCTAACAACCAGAGCAAAAATTTTTATACGTACATGGATATTGCATGCTTACATCTTGATATTTCGATCATAAGTTTTGTGTGCGCTGAAAAACTGTTTTGCCAATAAATTAGTAAAAAATAAATCTCCATATATGTGTCAAATATTGGTTTTATTAGTAAAGCTTCTGTCTATTTCATTTAAAAGATACACGAATGATCACATAGTAAGCTCATTTATATTTTGCTAAATATTGTATGAGTTTGTTAAAATGATAATATCATCTGAATAATAGTTCAGGTGGCCTGCTTGAATAACTGGGTTACTGTTCCTGCTATCTGAATATTTCAACAAGTTATCTGTTTTTGCTTGTTTTAGCACATCATAATGTCTATTAACCGCATAACCTATGTAGGAACGTTTATGAAAGGTCTACGACTTCTCACTGCACCCGAATGCCTGGTACAGTCGATGGTGTGGAGAGTCTGCTCTCCCTTTCCAAGTGCTCTCACTTGGTCACGCGTATATAGCCACTATCAGATAAGTCCTACTTAATGCCTTCTCGCACCAGGAGTGTTGTTTACGAAACTGAGAGTACAAAAAGTGAACGTCCGGCGCTTTAATCTGGTTGAGATATCTTGATTCCAAAGCAATGACGTGCATGGGCTCCAGTATCCTGAAAGCGTCCATGGGACTGCATCTCCTTACGTTGCTCCTCTGCCTTATGGATCAGACCTTTGGGTCAAAGGCTCTGAGTGCGGTCCCCCAAGGAAAACCACCTGCTTTGGTCTGAGTGTCCGCGCGGTATCCCAGCTGTCACACAAATCGCATTATTTATGTGGCGCATATGTATTCGGTGCCCCTTTGTACCAATATTTATTTGTTCAAATAATAATAATAATAATAATAATAATAATAATAATAAAGTGCTCTACTTCTGTAGCATCAACATATTTGGAACATCAAAACAAACGTATAACTAATTGATTTCAAAGGTTTAATTTCTGTTTTAATCGGACATTAATGAAACATTGAAAAACAGAGATATAAATTGGCAAGTTGTCCATTTACATTGATAAATTTTTTCAGTATTATTAGATAGCAATGTTGATTTACCTATAAAATTGTGATTCGCCATCACCTCCAGGCATTGTGAATCTTGCTTTGTAATTTGAGAAATTGCTAAAAAAAGCGTTTATTAAAGAAGAAAGTACTAATTAGCTGTTAAATCATGATAATCTATTTCTTTATTTTAAGGAATTGTTGTCAATTGAATTTCTATCAACTAGTAATCGTACACTTAGTACAAAAACTTTTCTTTTATTTACCTAGTATTGTATTAACAGAACTAGGAGACAACGGCCGCATTCCTACAATTCAGGAACATATGGGACTTAAAACAACTGTCTGTCAACCAATATCAAAGTCACAATCTTCATTACGAACATCAAGGCAGATCTACTGTATGGATCTGAAACGTGGAGCAGTATCACAACCATTATCAAAACATAAAAGTATTGATAAACACTTGTTTACGCAAAATACTCAACTGGTGTTCATCGGATACCATCAGGAACAGCCTTCTGTGAATGAGAACAAACCAAATTTGAGCTGAAGATGGAATTAGAAAACGACCTTCGAGGTGGATAGGATATACATTGCAGAAATCCTCAAACTGCATCACGAGGCAATCTCTGACTTGGAATCCTGAAGGGAAACGGATGACAGGGTGACTAAAGAACACATTGCGTCGATAATTGGGTGCAAATATGAGAAGGATGAATAGCAACTGGAAAGAACTGGAAGGGATTTCTCAAGACAGGTTTGGATGGGGAGTGCAGTAGGAGGGCCTATATTCAACCACGAGGGGTAGCATGCGCAAGTAAGTGAGTAATTTTTTAAACAGAATACATTACTGTCAGTATTCATATTGGTAAAATTATATAACAAGGCACTGATGCGTATGATTTTATGCACAACCCATTGATACTATAGCAGTAATTTGTCTATTTTTTAACAGTTGGACATTAACACCATTGGATACCGGCTCAGTGGTCTGTAGGTTAGGCGTTCGAGCGCTAGACCGAAGGTCCTGAGTTCGAATTCGGCGAGCGAGATCGTTGGTGCGCACTGCTGAGGAGTCCCATACTAGGACGAAACGGCCTTGCAGTGCTTGCAGGTTTTCCATGGTGGTCTAGCTTCAATTGACTCATGAATTCAACCATAAAGTTAAAACATTACAAAGTAAACTACTGTCAGATGTAGGTGACTTAGTTAAATCAGTTTTTCAACAGTCGATATCAAAACCAAAATTTATATTTCGAGTACGAGATGTAAAAATCGTACATATTCATGCTTAATCCTACTGAATCGAGAACGTTTTTGACATTGCAGTGTGGATTTTATTTTCACATCTGATTGAGAAATTATATGTCAGCCAGTTGAAAATTGTTTAACTTAGCACTGTTCATTCACTTAATTCATGTTTTCACCAAGTTAATATGTTAGTGTACAATGCGATGGATTTCAAAATGAATTCCAATTATTGAGATTAAAAATTGTCATACTGTGGTATGTGCTACTTATGTCCACATGAGTAGTATATAACGCTAGTCAGGAATAGAATGTCTAGAAGCAGAAGGTTGAGAAGATTGAGGAGGGAAGAACTGGAACAGAAAGCAATTCGTATGAAAATGCAGGAACAATGAAGTCTGTGACACTTAATAAACATTTTGCATATGAAGTATTGGAGTATGGTCTTTCTATTTTATCAAGTAACTCTGATTGTTCTCACCTGTGTTCTCCTTCATCACAACACTACTGTTTAATTTTCCTTGTAGAAAACTAAGAACCTAATTGAAAATAAATTAAACAAAGTTTGTTCACTTACTATGCAGCTTCATGGTTACCAACACATGTCATATAAGGAACTTTTGATGCAATTGGTTGTATATTACGCATAAATTGATCACCAACTCTTGCGTTATCCTGAAATTTAGTTTCAACATGAAAAACATGTATCAAATTATTGAAAGACTTTTCAACGTTACTTTTATAAGAGTAAGAATATTCAATTGCGACACCCAAAGGTTACAATTACTAACAATGTAGTGCAGAAATTGATGTTAAGCATTTTTATCAAGAATTTACTATACTGACAAAGAACATCTTGTTTAGTTGAGTATCAATAATGGAGAAACTGTAAAGAGTTAAGGGCAGCTGTTTGTACTGTTCTGGTCATGTTTCCAACGACACATTTTGATGTTTTTCATATCTATCCAATAATAAAATGACTTCTCATTTTGTTATCCCTACATCTACATTTTCGACTCATGAATCAAATAAATGAAGTGCATATCTACCAGTCTATCAAATTGATTTTATTTTCTCATATTGAAATACTAAAATTCAAAGAATGGATCATAGAAATATGTTATCAGTAATTTCAATAGTTCAGATCATGAGTCAATTGAGGCTAGACCACCATGGAAAACCTGGAAACACTGGGCGGTCGTTTCGTTCTATTGTGGTACTCCTCAGTAGTGCGTATCCACAACCCCGCCTCGCGGGATTCGAACTCAAGACCTATCAGCCTCGCTAGTGAGCGCTTAAACTCCAGACCACTGAGACGGTATCTAACGGTGTTAGTGTCTAACTTCAACTAGTCCACGAAATCGAGCGAAACATCTCAACCATTGGAAATACTACAATCTCCACAAAACCCCTTCTGGTAGTTATCAGTATTTGTTATAGTGTCGGTTGCTATGTTAAGCACACATTGATTATTCTAGCTTACACATTTTCACCTTCTTCATTAATCACTTATCAACCTTGACTGATTTTATATGAGCGTATGTGTGTACATTTGCCATCTTACTCATTACATGTCTGTAACTTATTTTTTTGTGACTAGAAATATCGATTAACGCTTGATTAAATCGAGTTGGCTCACACGCATTCTCCACTGCGCGTTATTTCGCTTCTCTCACTTCTCTTTGCTTCCTTCACATCGTCTCCCCGATTGTCCAGATCAACGAGTTTACAAAATATATGTATTCAAAATTTCATTGTCGCATTTAACTTATTTAGTTCCGTTATTTACTAACGCGATTCAAGTTGTTCATTATATACGAGGATTGGCGACATATATATTTCGACAGCCATCATTCGATAACGATCATTCGTCTGATCTAACTGGAGTCAGATATCCAGGGGCCACTAAACACTTTTGTAAATAGGTAAGTTCATGAACATTTACTAGCGGACGTTTTAAGTTAAACCTAGGAATGATTTTGTCAGAAAGTGAAGCACATTGTTCTAATTTCTTTCCCGGAATAAAGAAGCTATTTGTATAGTTGGTGGATAAACTAACATACAAAAGGTTTCTATTCAGCTATATTACTTCTAAATATGATTTCACTCATTAACGATCATTACTAAAGTTATTTTCCAAGGTTTATACGCGTTTTAAATAATTTAGCCTAGAAACTACCATTAAAATATAATTAACAAAGTATACAAATTATATAACGAGCATTATTCATGTACATAAACCTTTTCTGGGCAATAATATAGAGCACTTAATGGACATTTACTAACAAATATAGAAATGACCATTGGATATACTCTTGGATAGTTCCAAAGGCTATATCAAACTGGAAAACGACATCTTTCTGAAATCTCATAAACACCGTTGGCATATGATTTTAAAAATCTTCAAATAGTGTGCTATATTCCGTCTAGAGATGCTTGTTTACCAGTATTACTCCACTAAAATACGACATCGGTCTTTAGCCAATGTTTCTGTTATTAATAGGTTGAATGTTAGTTACTTACTGAATCCATATTATAGGCGAAATCACCAACATGTAATACCACATCATAACTATTTAAATCTTTGACTTGATGAATTAATTCGGGTAGTGAAAGTGCATCAGTTGTCCCCATATCTCCATAAACTGCTATTTTAGGTGACCAATAAGGATGAGATGGGAGAGCACGAAATTTCAAAACATCTGACCAACCATCTAAACTACCACATTTATAATCTGCAAAGCGAAAAATATATGATAAGCCCAAAGACTATCTGAGTTTGACACCTGACACTGCTACTTAAACTGAAAAATCATTTTAGTCCTCAGTTCATTACTAAGTCATTTGAAATAAAATGATATCGATTACTTCATTGCTTATGCTTGTGTGCCAGTAAAAAGGTAGCCTATGCAGAAACTTTGCTAATTACGATAAAATTCATCTTGTACAACTAATCTCCTCTCTGCTGAGAGGAAATTTGACACTCAGAATAGTATCGACTCTTTCAGGGATGTTACTAATTTGTTGTCTATCAGCTAATGAATTCACATAGATTTGGGATATTAACTAGCGAACAGCAGCCATTCCTAAATGTGTCTAGTCTGTTGGTCGTGCATTGTCAGACAAACTATAGAGTATGCTCTTGACTTTAATTTTAAGTGTTTCAAGGCGATCAGCAATAAATCAAAAACCAGTTTCATGCTAACTATTATCTGAGACCTCTAAATCACAATCGTACCAGATAAAATGTGGCATTAAGTTTGAAATTTCATTGGTTTCATCCTAGAAAACCTTTATTGAGAAAGGTTTTTATTACTGTTTGGGGTCGCTTACTCCAGGCCTAACTTTCTTCCTCTATCCAGGATTGAGATCACAATAATCCTGCTAAGGCTTAGGACAGAATTACTTATTTTAGGAGATTAGGTTCGAATAATTCATGATTTGTCTAAACTCAGTGTTGTAGCCATGAGAAATCGACGACTCAGCATTTTCCAGGAGAGCTATGAATAAATGCTGTCAGATATGATTCATTTATAAGAAAGAGATATATATTCAGAAAGGTTATCATATTAACAAACTGTGGATGTCAGTAAAGAAAAAAATCCTTTTTATTCATAGAAGGATTTTTTAAACTTACAATAAGTTGTATTACCAATTAAATCGGATAAGATCACTCGATGTATATACATTTTGCGTTGTTCACGTCCTCCATCAATAAACTCTTTAACGTAGCCAGTACTTTTCATATTTAACAGCATAGTACCATAGAGTACAGTTGAACTCTCTGTATTTTCTTGTGTAACCCAAGTAATACTTATGGTGGATGGTTGCTCTATGATACAAAAATACTGTTATTTATATGATGTTAAACATCTTCACAAAAATGATTCATCAAAATGAACAATTGAATCATGTTCATAGAAACAGTTAACACTGTTTCAGTGCCTAGCTATACAGAGGTGTCATACAACATTTCCGAATGATTTTTATTATGAATAAATTGGTTTACTATTTAAAACCTCCGTTTGTATGTACTAAAATTTCAACTTAGATGCACATCTGTGTTGGAAGAAAAGTACTCTATCAATGTCAAGGATTGATAATAACTTTAAATAAATTGGTCATTTAGTATAATATTAATAACAATGGAGATGGACGCACAATTTCATGGATTGGTCGAGGTTGGACATTAACACCGTTGGATGCCGGCTCAGTGATCTAAAGGTTACGCGCTGGCGCGCGAGACCAAAGGTGCTGGGTTCGAATCTCACGAGCAGGATTGTGGATGCTCACTGCTGAGAAGTCCCACAATAGGATGAAACGGCCGTCTAGTGCTTCCAGGTTTTCAATTGTGGTCTAACATCAATCGGCCCATAATCTCAGTTAAAAACATAATAATCTCCACAACATACACGAGGGAAAAATCAAGATCGTCAAATATAACATGGAAAAGAGTAACCTAATAAAACTTTATAGAGAAGCTCTGGAAAAGGTAGAAACGTTCAGTTAGCTGGATAGCATCACCGATGAACGCGGAGGATCTGAAATAGATGTGAAAGTAATGATTAGCAAAGGAAGGGAGAAATTCTTACTGTTGAAAAGCATATGGAACTCAAAACAACTATCTGTCAACCATTGTTAAAGTCAGAATCTTCAATATGAGATTCATGACAGTTCTACTGTTCTGAACCGAAATCATTGAGAACCAGAGTGACCAATGAACACACTGCGTCGGGAATTGGAAACACACATGGAAAGGATTAATAGCAACCAGAAACAACTTGAAAGGATTGTCCAGGACAGAGTTTGACGGAGGATACTGGTAGTTGACCAACGCTCCTGCTCGAGGGGCAACAGGCATAAGTAAGTAAGTATTTATTTATCTGAACACATAAATATTGGTAAAAGAGAGCGCCAATATATATGCGCCACGCAAAACAATGAGAATTCGAAGAGAAAGAAAAAGAGGTAAAGAGCGTGAAAAAAAGGGAACAATAACGAACAGATTAGTGTAAGGTAGCGTAGTAATATTAATAATAATAATAAGGGAACGGAAAGGTACAATCAGAAGAAATCTCTCAGTTAAGGAAGATACAACCACATTTTTTATGAAGAAAGTAAAAGAAGGTTACAGCAGGATCGCCACTGGCTTCTATTCTGAGCCATATCTGATAACGTCTCTAGCCACTGTATAGCACCATCTCTCGGACCCCAGCCAGGGAGTCGTGAAGGACCAATAGAAGCTAGCCCTTTGCAGCTTTCTTTCATACCCCGATACCATGTCATGCACTGACCACGTCTCCGCCTCTTCCAACCAGTCCCAGAGTCGGTAAATAATGCACGACGTGGAATTCTCTGGGACGATATTCGGAGAACATGTCCAAACCACCGAAGTCGGTGTTTCAAGATGGTGGCATGGATTGCATTGTCATCTCTGTGCCCGGACACACGATACCGAAGCTCTGCATTACTGACATGGTGTTGCCACTGGATGTCAGCAATCCTTCGGAGACAGTGATGATCGAACACAAAGAGTCGACTAACAGCCTCAACTCGGAGAGGCCAGGTTTCACAAGCATAGAGCAAGACTGCTCTCACCGACGCGTTGTAGATCTGATCTTTTACAGCCAGACTAACATCACGAAGGCGCTAAAGATGGCCCAGATTGGCATAAGCCTCTCTGGCTTTCACTATTCGTGCATTGATCTCATCACTCACACCACCACCCCCACCAGCACTTATGCAGCTACCCAGATACACGAACTTCTCGACTACTTCTATCTGCTCACCATCCAGGGTGAGTACAGGATTAGAATCCTGCCAGTCTTGTAAAAGTACTTTGCACTTCGAAGGTGCAAAGCACATACCATACGCACGGACACTGATTGCCAACTGATTAAGTGCGGATTGCATGTCATGGGCATTATCGCACAGTAAGTCAATATCATCCGCATACTCAAGGTCGAGAAGTCTTTCTCCAGGCAACAGATCCACACCACCATCACTTACATCCATCAGAGCTGTTTCCAGAATGTCGTCGATGGCAAAGTTGAAGAGGAATGGTGAGATTGGGCAACCATGCCTAACCCCACTGCTCGAATGGAACAATGGAGAGAGGTGGTACATTCCAGATGCAGCTGCTGCTTCCAACTCATTAGCACGATTTGACCACCAGGCTTCTCGGTCCTTACGCAAGGTTTGCCCACTTTCCTTACGTAACATCCTTCGTTTATGGTCAAACTCACGGTCACCCGGAGTAGACCGACGGGCTTCAATGAGTTGTAAGGAGCCTGAAGAAACCCAGTGCTTATAAGCGGGACGTTTCGCGAACCCACAACTGACTGTACCCGACATTTTCATGGCGTCGTGCAATTGCAACCAATGCTCATCTATACTTTTCGGTGGAGTGGTAGCTAGCCTAGAGGCTAGCTCGGTTCGATACTTACTTGCAACAGAAGCTGCAACCAGCTTACTAACATCAATCCGTTGTTGGCGGTCACTTCGTTGTCCACTGAAAATTAAGGTTAGATTGGCGCAGACCAGGGCATGGTCAGAGTCCAGATAGGTACTCCAAAAGGAGCGGCAGTCTTGTACACAACCACGCCAGCGGTAGCTGATCGCGATGTGATCAATCTAAGTCCAGGCTTGGGATGCAGAGGGAGGACGCCAGGTGGCACATCGGCGATGACTGTGCCGAAAGTTAGTGCTAGCCAGAAACAGGTTGTGGTCTGTGCACAGTTGCAGTAGACGGTCCCTGTTATCTGACCTGCGACCAACGAGTCCCCATCGGCCACCTAAACGACTCTCTTCTGTGCCTAGACGCCCGACCTGAGCATTCAAGTCTCCGGCTAGTACTACAATATCTGTCGAACGCACTTTCTGGAGAAGAACTGATAACTGGTGGTAAAACTCATCCTTGATTGCATCCAGGCTGCAATCTGTTGGGGCATAGGCGGAGATGACGAAAAGACATCGTTTCTCACACCGATTTTTTCTCACTTTGATGGAACTTTCTAATCTAACAGCACATAACCGACTGTTAATGGAGATCCAATCGATTAGTGCTGCCTCAGCTCTAGCGCTTAGTGTGACAACAACGCCAGCAAGACCAGACGAAGATGTCACAGGGTCTCCGGATAAGCGCACGTAAAACAAGCTTTTCGAAGCGACAGATGGAGAGCGAATTTGTAGCACTTCACCTAGAGTCTTGAATACGGGTCTCGGATAGACAGCAGATATCGATATTAAGACTTTCTAAAGACATAGCCAGCCCTATCTGTTGTCCAACCTGCATAAGTGTGCGAACGTTGAAGGCAGCCAGTTTGAATGGTGCACGTGGTTTCAGAAAAACTGCCTCAGCACTCATATTCAGTGGTAACATACAATTTTCAACCGGAAAGTGATTCGAGAACGCTTAGATACAGTCGAAATTCCACCAAAGACGAGCCGCTGTGTAAGTATAAAAGAGGGTGAATAATGTGGTAAATAATAATAATAATTTGATTGTTAGTTGAAGCAAGTAAAGTTATTTCCATTGATATAGAGAGTTCATTATTTGCTTGTGGGCTGCGATACTGCCGAGGTGCCCAGACCGAAGCAGGTGGTTATCTTAGGTGAACACACCCCGAGCCTTTGACCTAAAGGTCTAACCCACATGGCAGTGGAGCATCGTAAGGAGATGTAGTCCCATGATAGCCGGTGACCAACGATTAGTTCATACGCCATTTGTTCCCGCAGGATACTGGAGCCCATGTACATCATTGGGTTGGGATCCGGTTAAAGCGCCGGACATTCGCTTTTCGTTCTCTCATTTTCGTAAACAACACCCCCGCCATGAGAAGGCAATGAGTAAGACTTCCCTGGCAGAGGCTGTAAGTAAGTAAATATAATCAAATAGATGTACATCCATTCTTTGAGTATTTGTGTTTTTAAATTGACCCTCAAATACGCATCATCTCAAAAGATAAATTGATTATATCTTGTTTTATTACATATTCATCTAAAATGTTTATTGTTAGTGTTATGAGGTTCTAAAACTATCTAACTCATTCGTTATATGGACTTAATATATTGTTACTTATAAAATAAAGTGTCAAGAATGAATATACTTTTGGTTGCATTTTTACCTTAAAATAGCATTGAAATTTAAATCTGTCGAGTACTCAAGCTATTACTTCATAGAGACTCCTAATGTAAGCTTAGAAAACTATTAATAAGAAGCTGATTGATAGACAGGTTACAATCCAAAAAACAATGATGTACTTACCTCCTAAAGCAATATGTATTTGCTCTGGTATCTGAGATTCCATATATCCGTATACATTCCAAGTTCTAACATGATACAAGTTAAGAAACAATGGTATAATAACTAGAATATACATTTTATACTAACACTATTATTAAGTTTCTATTTTAATATATGGACATGATATTCATATATAAATGGATAATTAAGATAACGAACTGAATGTGTAACAGCACATTTATGTTCCAAGGTCATGTTTTATGATATATCTATTATTACTTACAATTCTAATCAATAATGTTTAGCTCTGATCATATATGTATATAGACTTTGAACACTTCCTGTTTATCTATTGAAAAATAAACAAAGAATACTAGTTATATTTAGATAGAAACATAGATTTTGTTATTTGTTGAATTATATTTGACTTCATACAACATGCGATTAAATGACAAATAGATTAGACGAAGCTAAAAATATTCCTTCGACCGTCAACTATTTCTAAAGAATATTACAGAGGGCGTTTGTGGAGACTGTAGTGACTTTTAATGGTTGAAGCAAGATCACCATGGAAAACCTAAAAACACATGGAACGATCGTTTTGTCCTAGTATGGGACTCCTCAGCAGTGCGCATTTAATTATTTCCTAAGATTCACTGATAGATTTATTTATTTATTCATTTATCAGTGTGAAATGAAACGTGTAATTTTATTATCTCATGTTGTTCTTTTAATTTACTGTTACGTTTTGAACTATCATCCAAAACTTATTATTGAATGTTCTAAATTTTTGTTAATTGCAAAGAATTCATCTACATGTTATTGTGAAGTCTTGGAAGTATGAATAATTCAAACTAACCAGTGAATAAATTCATTTGATATTGTCTACTTGGATCTTCCCATTCATGTTTAGGACTGAAATTGATCAGTCTCCTGTTGACATATGTGCATACTCTGCATGCCGCTATGATAATGTCCTAATACACAAGTATTGTGAGCAAAGATGTCGCAAACAAGTGACTAATAGAATTTAGTAGCCAAGTGAATAACGGGATGTTGCTTGAAGCGAACTGTACTGGTTTTCACTTCCGGAATAAACATCAATACTGCGATGCAAGTATATCCAGCTGACGAGTCCCTATTAGGACTGAACGTATGTCATGGATTCAACTATTAGCCTTTTAACATCTTTAATAAGTGAATAATTTGACAAACATTTGTGACCATCGCACACACACTACAGGGTAAACAGATTGCTGACAATTAAAATGACAGTTGTCTTTGGCTTCAACTAAAGAATCAGCTTCAGTTTTATAAGATTACAGTCGTTGTATATGTTCACAAACTTGTGAATCATGTCACACGTTACCTTACTCAAGTCGATTATACTTTTTATTTCCTAACAACATCTAAGAACTACTCATATACGGATGCTAGTTCCAAGTGCGTAGTGTCAGTGTCAGTGTCAGTTGGTGTTGATCTGTCACCATACAACGAAATTCCGTCATTGTGTTAGCCGGTCTATCCGGATACACAAAATCAACCAACAAAACATCAAGCCGTGTTGGAGAATACAGCTGGTGCAAACAAACGCAACTTTCGAGTGAAGCAAACACTCCATATCATCTTTCGCCTACGTCAATCGTTCTAGGTTTTGGACAGATCATTCATTATTGACTCACTATCCACAAGTGTATTTTAATCTGCCAGTTATTCGTCTGCATCCTAGATCGTATTTCCGAATCGTGTGTGTGCGCTCGTTCACCACGTACTCTCTTCATCAGATGTCTGTAGCCTATTTTCCTGTTCAATTGAAGCGTATTAGAACAAGATAACAAGAGATTTGGAAACGCATGTTTATTTGTCTGTGGATTGGATTATGTGGTTCAAATGTCTATATTCCTTTATCGGTTTGCGCCATACCTCGTGATGATGGCGTATGTGGTTTGCGTTTTGGTTTCCCTTTTCCTCTCTTCTTCACACATCTCTGTTCACATTCTTGCAGTGTCGGGAACCTGTTTCTATTGCCTCCTTCACCTTTGTAGATAAATGGCATACATTTCTTCTCCTGTTTATTGTAGTAGAAGACGTGAACTTCCTTGTCTCCTTCTCCAGCATCGACTGGCCTCATGCATTCTCCTGTTTCAAAATGGCAAAACACAAAACAATCAATGAGCACTATAAACACTCTGATTAAACGAACTAGATGACACAGGCACGTGCATCGGGCAAAGAGAGATGTTACTAGTGAGTGATGCTCTCACAAATCATGGTTTTCGCCCGCCTTCAGATCTGCGTTCCGAAACCTTTGTAAGGCAAATCACAACCTCCAGTGATGGAAGAACAAATGTGCTCTCACGGACCAAACATATACTTCGACATATGTAGTGGCGTTCTGTTTGTCATAACCAGAGTTCGTTCGGAACTTCCATCGATATCAGTCGACGGACTCTTGGAAGATTGCACATCATGTTTTTCGGATTTTGATGAACATACGAACAGTTCAATAACGCTCAACCTAACATACAATTTACTATGGAACACGAACAGAATGACATGTTCCAGTTTCTTGATGTTGCTATAAAACGTAGGAGAGACGGGACAGTCCAACGTTCGATTTATCGAAAAAGTACTTGGAATGGCATTTACCTGAATTCCAATAGCTTTTGTCCACTGAGTTACAAGAAGGCATTAGTTAAAACACTATTTTATGGGCAGAAATGATATGTACCACTGACAAACTCGAAGAAGAATTGATGAAAGTGGAAAAATGCCTGCGAGACAACTTTCACCCACAAAAGTTAATTGACAGGCATAAGAAGCGTAAAGAAAACAATACTGAAGTTATTACTGTCAATAAAAAACCAATAACTATAAGTCTTAACTCCAAAGGTGACGAGGTTGCAAGCACAATCAACAGGAGACTGAATACTGCGCTAGCCAGAACTTATCCGGCGGCCAAACTTCAAATTATGTATAAAACAACATGCTCAGTAACTCAATCAATGGTTGATAAGCATCCTTTTCATGTTACCGCCAATTGTATTTATAAATTTACGTGTACCTCCCAAAGCAGCTACATTGGCCAAACAGAAAGGGGGGCATATCTCATATTTTTTAAACATGTTCTAAAAAGCCTTAGAACAAGAGAAAAAAAGACTCTGAATATTGCAATCACCAAACATCTTCTTGATACAGGACATCAGGTCGATACCCTACAATCATTCAAGGTGATTAGTAAGCAGCCAAACTCCAGTCTCCTGAGGTTTGCCGAAGCAGTTGCTATCAGGCGACAAAAGCCTGATTTATGTGTTCAAAAGGAGATGGTTAATAATCTTTCCTTGCCTTCGTGATCAATGTTCCTTCATTATATCTTAATGATTTTTTTTCTCTTTCTTTAAACTCTTTCTTGCATTTATCACACCATTGAGTTTCATTCCAACTATCTTATTTTACCAACTGAACTCTACTCATTTTATTCCTATCAAGGTTTATTTGTTTCTAACCGTTTGAACTGATGTCACAATGTTCTTTCATCACATAAGGTATATATTTACAGTATTCAGTCTATTAAATTTATTAACACCCTTGCTATACTATATGAATATGTCTGTAATATAACTTCCAACCAAACTCTTTTATGTAAGTAATTTAAACCCATTAATTATGATTTTAAATATCACAGGTTGTAAGCAGCTGACGAGAACCAACGAAATAAAAATGAACTCATGATATTTTGCCAAAATGTTTGTTCTCGCTCTTTTCAAAATGATAAACGGAACTATGTGTATGAAACATATGAACAGTTCAACCGCAATCACAACACAATTACGGTGGAAACATTGACATTAAGAGCAAACAACTACACTTACGATGGAGTTTATCGGCGAACACAATCTCACACGAGACGACCAATGCAAGTAGGAGTGAAACGTTGATGCTCATTTTTCAGTGACTATTTCGTGTTCGTGTGGTTTGTTTTAGGACTCCACTCTGAGCTATTTATACTCACAAACCTGTGAGTTAGCCAGTTGTTTTTGGTTGACACCCAGTCGCAACTGCTCAAAGAAACGGATTGGTAAATGTCATGCAATCGATTCCTGGGATTAGTAATTCTGTTTGAGTGATTCGCATGAATCAGGTCAACACACTTCACAAAGTTCTATTCAAGTCAATCGAGATTAAGGTTGTTGTGTGTTGTGAACCCGTTCTTCTGTGTCCTCATCAAAATTGTTATTGGGATATGAGGATCGTGGCCTGATGTGGTGAGGTGAAACTAGTTCACAGTGAGAATTATTCAAGAATCGATAGGCGTTACTGTCAGTTGATCAGGTCACATGTGGGGAGATAATGACGTTGAACGGTTTTGTTGAACAGCGAAACGTGTGATGGTTGTTGTGTAGGTGACAATGACTGTGTATTTCGAGGTACTCGTTTGAGTATTGTGAAGCATACGTCGAACTGTTCAGAGTCTAATTCATATATAAAAATGAATGCTTGCAACTCGGGTGTACAGAATTTCGACCGGATTGCCAGCCCTCGTAAACATGTGTGAATAATTATCGGCATAATCGGTGATGGGCTGCAAACAAGTTAGTTCAGCTCGACGAAATTCGTGATAGATTCCACCAAACACTCGTACTATCATCTGATCGATAAATGTAAATATTTGTGAACGTTTGACTGTGATTACCAGGTAGGATAACTAGTGCTCAGGTTGGGTGCTGAATGTTACGTTCAAGTCTGCACAACCAAACTCATAAACCAAATGGCCTCACGATTTCGTTACATACAGAACTGATCGTCGAATATGATCATATATTTTTATTGAAGCTCACATGGAGTAAAAGTCACTTGAACGTCAGTCATTTCACAATCCGACAATCGGTAGAAATCAAAAATAGGTGGTACGAAGTAGTTGTGAAAATGCTTGGATGTTTAAGGAAGACTAGTTGAGGAACACAATTGACTAGAGTGATTTGTGATAGTGTCAAGAAGAACATGGTCAGTTCATATTATAAACGAAGACGAAAGCTGCAAGTGTATTTCAGTCGAAACACTGTACATCAACGTGACAGCTTTCGAACAACTCTCACCCGTTGAATATAATTGTAGTACTATGATGAAAATTACTATGATTTTGTTCAACATGTAAATAAAAGACCATGTACTTTGGTCACGACAGTGCAAAGATTATTCATCTGACCGAAAGTTAGGTGAATAGGTGCTTACATTCCACAGGCCGCTTGTTGAACACTTTGCTCCATATATGAGGACTTGAAAAGTAATCTGA